GATCCCTGACTGTCCGCGCTTTGGGCCGTCCTCCCGATGTGAAAGGCACTCTATAAATGTAATTTTGTTGTTATTGTCGAACCTACATACATGCCTAAACTGTATAAACAGTTCATTAAATTATCTCCTATAGCTATAAAAATGTTCTGGCACAAATTTCAGCTTTAACTGGTAATTTTGCTAGCATATGTACTATCTGCCAGCATTACCATTAAATAATAAATTATTATTATTAAAGATCAAGTCATGTTATTTGTTCCCAGATTATTGCAAATTAAGAGATACTCTATGACTCTTTATACTTAATTCTTTTGATTCCAATTAGAATTTGACAGAAAATTTCTACAGCAGCTGTTACATGCCTGAAGAGACTTTTTCATTAAGGTGCATGTGTAATAAATGAGCTGGGATATTTTAAATAACTTCTGCCTCCCTGAAAGTTTACAGGCAGTAATCAGATTATTTAACACATTTGAAAACTGCCCACTTTGTGTCAACAGATTTTGTTCTTCCAGCGTTGCTTTTTTTCCCACACTCAATACTGAAGAGATGTTACTTCACTGTGTGTTGATTCTGCAGCTCAAGCAGCCTATAGTACATAGAATGATGAATGAAGAAGTCATGTCAATTACTTACCTTTATACATAATAATCTTTGTTCTTCAAGTGAGGTGAGGCTGCACATTTCTGGATATATGTCCAGCTTAGATTTACAAGGTGTTACCAAGAATCAAGACAGATTTGACGGGTTGGAGCATTTAGTTGTAGAGTTGAAACAATTGAGAGGGGACCTGATAGAAACGTTTGTGATTATGAAAGGATTCGATAAGGTGGACATTGAGAGACTATTTCCACTTGTTTGTGAGTCCAAAACAAGAAGCCATAAATATAACTTCATGCAGAGGCTGGTGACAACGTGGAACTCACTGCTGAAAGCTGTGGTTGAAGCAAAAAGCATTGATATTTAAAAGGAAATTCAACAAGGAAAAGGGAATGATGTGGGTGTAGGAGAAGGGAATAAGAGGGGTGGGACCTTGTTTGAATTGTAAACACCAGCACTGACTAATTGGGACAAATAGTCGGTTTCCATACCATATCACTCCATGTCATCTATGGTTTTCCTTTTCTCCTGAGGCTTTGACTGGATGGGGTCTAGTGTGGTATTTACTTGCTTGCAAGCTGCTATTTACAGCAGTTGGACTTCAGTGACAGTGCCAAAAAGTTAATGAGTTGCTCAAAGTTTTAAAAAGTAATGAAGCTGTTGCTTAAGTTGGACTCCAACCATCCTAAGGTGCTTTTCCTCTGGACCAGGAGGCTATCATTCCTTGGTGGCGGGCAATCACCCAGCTATAGGCTGGCTCAGTGTTTTTTTTCCAAAAGCTGGTCAGTAAAGATTAAAGATGGGAATTAATGTTAGTGCAAAAGGAAAAAAACAGTCTTGAATATTTGTTTCATTTTTGAATAATATTTTATTTGTGCTCCTTTGGTTATCTTCCCACCCCCTCCCACCTTGGTTCCCACCCCTCTTGTATCCAAGCTTGGGTACAAACCTTGATTGTCCAGTGCCATGGAAGTCATTCCAAGGAAAGTTGCTATATAAATGCAATTTGTTGTTGTTTTATGTTCAGTTGTTAGGTGTGTATTGCTGCGGGTGCTATGGATTGTAGCTCACAGTGTAAATGGTTATATTCCATAACACAGGCAAACCTAGAGGTTTGCAGGTCTTCTCTGCAACACATAGTGAGTGTACATATGCAAATGCACGGCTGTACAGATTAATTCACAATCAACTTTAAGGAAACAAAATTAGTTTCACATTCTAAATGCAATTTATATCGAAATTGTTATTTTCTTTCATTTGGTGGTGAAAATAGTCTTATGATTCATATTGGAGTCATTGTAAACATGGAAATTTGATATCAAAGCTATCACACCATCCTCACTGCCTGAGTGAGGTTAGGTACAATTTGAGTGGCAGCACTTCTGAACTTTATGGAAATGTAAAAGACAGTGTTTCCAGCCAGTGAAATTATGAAATTATTTGTGAGAAATTGTTTGTGAGCAAAGTGGCTTCTTTGATGATGACAAAATACAGTGTTTTAGTTATCCAAACTGATGCAATTCTCTGCATGATTGGAAATCTACTGTACCTATTTCAGTGCCTCTTGAAGAAGTATTTTCATTATTAGAAATAAATCAGAATGTGCAACATGTAACTGACAGTAAACGCTAGATAAGGCCTCTTAGTGCAGTGGTGTGATTTTTATCTGGACCTTCATGAAGAAGCAGGGACCAACATTTCTTGGATTTTAATTCAGTTTGAAACACCATCAAGAAGTCCAAGCCGTTAAAAATCAACTATGATGTTTAACGTAGGTGCGAATAGCTTTCAAGAATGCAATCAGCAAATTAGATTGTAACTGAAGCTAAAGCACGGGCACGATGGGCTGAATAGCCTCCTTCTGTGCTGTAATATTCTATGGAAATTAGTGGGAATTGAAAAGTAACTTTCAATTAATTTAGCATGTCAAATAATGACTAATACGAACAACCTTGCTTTTCTGTGACAGCTATTTTTACAACTTTTTCATGTACGTAGTTTTTGGCAGGCTATAATTATCCTTATTGTATCAGTTTGTTCCCTTGTGAACATATTTCACAGAAAAGTAATTACCTTGTTTTTCTGGTTCATTGATGATATGAGTTGCTTAAAATTCACATTGATTGTGCCCAGTTTATGGAACATAACATTATTGCTGATAACCTGGGGAATGGAATCAGAAATGTGCTGGTTTGTCTACAACCGAGTGGTCTAGCTGGCGGGCCGCAGCTGGCCTGGTGGGTGATTTTATCCGGCCTGAGACCATTTCCAACATTGCAACTTCCGCTCCCTCTCTCCCTGGTCAACATTCTCCCATGGCAGCGGCAGAAAAATAATATCGGCCGTTACTGCAGTCTGTCAGGACGACAAGTGCGTCTCCTTATTCAACAACAACAACTTGCATTTATATAGTACCCTTCACGCTGGGTAGCGTCCTGGAGCGCTTCACAGTGGCAGAGTCTGACAACAAGCCAGGGGCAGAGGGAGTGGGACTGCAAGCACAATCAACCAACAGCTCCTGCCATTGCAGATAGTGAACTGCGCGGCTGATTGGGAGAGCGAGGGATTGAGAGGGGGGAAGGGGGAGAGATTGTTGATCGGGATACTGGATGAAACTCTTGGTGTAGCATAGATTCACACGCATTTGTGACAAATATAGTATACAGACGTACTGCATCTGGTTAAAAAAGGACGCAGGTCTCATGGTGCAGAGAATTATTATGGGTCTGCTTTAAAAGGGCCAAGAGGGTTTAAGTTTCCCAGGAACTTTGTAATCTCTGACCCTTTAAATTAGTTTTTTTTAATCTTCAGATCCATTTATTTGCTTTACTCTATATATTGCAACTTCATAATAAAATGGAATAGTGGGTTCAGTGCACTATAGTTGTCGTTTTTTTTAGTAGCCATATTATATTTCAGGTTATAGCACATTATATAAATGCATTTAGTGGGTATAAAACTAAGAAGATTCCAAACTGCTAATTTTATGTTTCATCATAGATCACTTTTATCCAGACCATTAGGAAGGTTTGATGTGTGAAATTTCATCTTTTGGCTGCATTTCAAAAGTGGGAAATGGAATGTTCAGAACTTGGTTGCTGGAATTTGATTTATTTCTAACTGCATCTATAATTTTTTTGCCTGCAGTTGACATTTGATTACACTAATAAGATATGTTCATTTGTGCGTGAACAGAAAATAATCCTTGCAATTATAGTGAAATTAGGGAAGAAATGAAGTCCAAAGGGAGTACTCTTTGTTCCAAGTACACCTACTAAAAATAGAAAAAATATTCTCAGCATCTTTTCCTATAACAATAAATCCTCAATTTGATGCAGTGCAAGGCGACTCCCAACTGCTGCATTGGACCACTCAGAAATGTTACGGGAGTACTGTAGTAGCTTGTGTTCCTTATCAGCCTCAGTTGGGATATTGGTCAAGCTCTTGGGGACTGCTACCACAAACGGGGTAGGGGCCAACAGGCAGCAGAAAGATTGGGCTAGTTTGGAGCTATGTTGTTCTATACTGGCAAGGTTTAATGCCTACATTTAGTTTGAAGTAGCTTGGGTGACTTGATGTCACATAATAATTATTGTGTTCAGCTTATTTATACCATTTTAGAATCTTGAATACCCAGGTGAGATCTCCCCAAAGCATTCTCGTTAGTGTGACCATTCCTAGCTTTTGTAGCCTGTCCTAAGAACTTGGGTAACTAAATCCTGCTATCAATCCTGTTGCCCTTCCCTACACCCTCCCTATTACACTGTAATGCAGTGACCAAAATTGTGCATAGTATTCCAAGTGAGGTTGCCTTCTTTGCTTGTCCTGATGGTTTCAATGATCTATCCACGAGTATCCCATTAGAACCCTCAGTTTTAGTGAAAAACAAGCACTTGTTTTTTATCCTATGTATCAATGCCATTTTTCTTATATTACCACTGTATTCCCAAACCGAGTGGAGAATCGGAATAACCTAACCCATGAACATTGACTTTTAATAGTGAGATAAGTTGCAAAGTTATGCAATGAAGTCATAATAATAATATAATTTGTGGAGTCCTGTAGTTTAGTGTTAGACCACTCACCTTGCAAGCAAGAAACCTGGGTTTGATTCCCAGCAGGGCGAAACCTTGGGCAAGTTTCCTTACTCCACATGCCTGATGATAATCCCTCAAGNAAAAAAACAATAAGAATTTGGCCACTCAATCCATGACTGTTTGTGGGACACTGCTGTGTGCAATTGGCTGCTGCATTTTGCCCACAAATATACAGTCAATTCACTTTACAGTATATTCTGTGAAGCGCTTTGAAATGTCTAGAATATGTGCTATATCAAATGCAGGGATTATAAAGAAATCTTGATGCTTTTAATTATCCAATATACCTGTTTCCTTTTCCAGGTTAGTGCGTCTTTCAGGAAAAATCAGACTCCTGGATGTCGGAAGCTGTTTCAACCCATTTGTAAAGTTTGACGAATTTCTGGCAGTTGGTATTGACATTGTACCTGCTGTAGAGGTATGTGATGTTAGTTGTACAAAACACTGAGCAATTTTAGTTGGTACACCAAGTATATTAAATTTACTGCAAGATTTAAGAAGCATTTTTCTAAGCTATTTTGCCCAGTGAACTTTGGGAAACTATCCAGCTGTGAGAGGGCTGGTGGGACCTATTGCATCCAAGTTTGATACTATCCTCACCCCCACATGATTTCAACAACAACAAAATTACATTTGGCCTTTCACATCAGTGATTTCATGCTTTTTCCTCCCTTTTCCATAGCTCAGGGAATACTGAATGCTGCAACCACCCCAGCTGGAGTAAGCTAACTAAACACAGATTCAAATCAACAAGTCTTAGTGCGACATAAGCCCATGCTTTTACACCTTTTACAATCAAGGGAGCTACTAACAATTCTAACCTTAAAGACTATTTAAAATATATATTTTAAGATACTTCTATTTGGTGTATTATCCATCTCAGGCCTAAATTCAATAGCTACTATCCATCTCAGACCTAAATCCTGTTGTTCTCTGAGATAGGACCTGTATATACATATATATATATATAAAAATATATATACTGTCATGTCTTCCAGTAAGAGGAACATATTGAGATGCTTTGTGTTAATTCTCTTTATTTTAACTAACTATTTATTACATAGTTATCACCCAATGGTGTGAAGATCTGTCACTGTAAGATTATGAGAGTCTTATGCAAACAATAGTGAATGTTTTTATTTCTGGTCAGACTAGTGAATAGATTTATGGATGCAGCTTTGTGTTGCTTTTGTAATACGGAGAGGCCTAATTAATTTGGCCCACAGAGGCAAGTTTGATTACTGCATCCTCTGCAGCAGTTTCTGTTGGTTAATTAGGTAAATAATAGATGTGCATTTTGTGCAAAATGATCAGCAATAAATTTCCAAAACTGCATTGCACCTATTGTGACAACTGTGTCTTGTGTTAACCTCATGGAAGAGAGTTATAGTGAGATCATATTCCATATTTAGTTTTAGCAGCAAACTTCATTTCTTCTGCAAATTCAGCACTAGTTGTACCTTCTGTACCATCTAAGCTCTAATAATTATGTCAAATCAGAAGTACAACCTGTGTCTCTTCAGGATATCTCTGGCTTCTAACCCCAATTATCCTCCTGCTAAGTGTCCTGATGTGGATGTTGCATAAGGATCATTTAGAGCCCAGGGATAATACCCCCATCTGATAACCTACTAACACTTAACTATTTAAGCTCGCCTATGACAAATGTCTTCTTGGGTGAGCTACTGGAGTGCTGTTAGCTCCCATGCAATTGTATCCCAGCAACAATCAATGTCTTTAAGAAGTGAAAGAAGGAAATACGACTTAAAGAAAAGCCAATCATTTCTAAATACAGTCTCTAATACAGCTCCAAAAACAGCTCAATCTGTCCAGAGTTGCAAAGCCAGTTGTTCAGTACCCTAGATGAGATAAACAGCAGAAACACAAATAAACCTGCCCAGAACTAGTGATCTTCGTTCAAGGGTGGCTTTGTTTCCCAACTCAGCGGTGCCCTAGTTATCTAACTCTCATTTCCACCCCCCCTCCCCCATGTCAAATTGGAAAAATATTACATCTGCCGAAGATATTACAGAACTTTTTTCTTTCAAGTCCATGAGATTTATTGCAGTTGTTAAGAACCAAGAAGTAACAATGATGCATGATGAGAAATGCTGTGAGGGAGTTCAGAATGATTTGGCTAAATGATACATGAAATTACAGCCACGTCTGCCAGAGAGAGAGAAATAATCAGTTTTTTGCTAACACAGCAAAATATAAAAGGTACATTGGTCTTCCAAGCAATGAATACATATTGTTTCTTATGTAGTTATGTGTTCTAAACGTTAAACTGTCTAGAAATTGTGGAGTCCTGTAGTTCAGTGGTTAGAGCACTCGCTTTGCAAGTGAGAGACCTTGAGTTCAATTCCAGGCAGGGCGAAACCTTGGGCAAGTTTCCTTACTCCACACGCCTAATAATAATCCCTCCAAAAAACCAAAAACAATAATAAATTGGTCATTTTCAATCCACGACTGTTTGTGGGACATTGCTGTGCGCAATTGGCTGCCGCGTTCGCCCACAAATATACAGTCAATTCACTTTACAGTATATTCTGTGAAGCGCTTTGGGACGTCTAGAAGACGTGAAAAGCGCTATATCAAATGCAAGGATTATTATTATTATTAAATTAAATGTCTTAGAGAATTGATAGTGCAGTGATTAACTAGATTTTATTTTAAGCAATTTTGTATACTTTATGATGTGTAATACATTCAGTAGTTAAATCCATGTTTAAAAGATGACATTTCATACTGAGATTTGCTTGTGCATTAAGGTATCTGAATTTAAACTCTGACTTTAATCTGTTTCGACTGAAATCTTAAAACTACTGATGCAAATAGCTGTCTCATTTGCTTACAAAAACAGTCACTCCTCTTGACAGTAATTATTTGTGCAATGCAAACATTGCTTTTCATTTGCGCAGCAAGGTTAAGGGTCTTCCTCTTTCTCCCCCATCCAAATATTTCTACTTAACTGTATTACCACTAAGTCTTCCCGTTCCACCTAGCTGAAACGGGTCTTGCGAATCCTGACATCCAGCTGTTTCTGTGAACTGATATTCACACTCTGCACGTGTACATTTGTAGCTGATTGGGGCATGTGTACATTTATATTTGATCCATAATTTGATAAGCAAAATTGAGAGCTGAGCATTTCCAATGATTGAGAACAACATTACATTGGATACCAGATGGACACACTACAGGGCGGGCTGCCACTCAGAACAGGGAGTGCTGTCAAAGCATGTCATGCATTCTACACCATTTGATCTGGCAGCAAAGAATAGCCCCTAAAATGCATAATAATATCTTCACATGTGTTACTTGAAATTTGATCTTTCATGGGAAATAATCATCTGTGGAACTGAGGAACCTCATAAAGCTGTTCTGTTTGTGCTAGAATTCTTATAGCATTACACCAAAAGATCTTGCATAAATGGTTTTAAAATAGATTAAAGGCTTACCCTAGAAAAAGCAAATTAATCTGTCTTCAGTTTCACAGAGCTTGAAAACACAGTGTGCCTGCCCTGTGAAGATTTTTGCACAGTATTTTCTTTTAATATTGAAATCAAAAGATGTGTTTATAGCTTTCAAACTGCTCACTCGACAGCAGCCGTTGCAGGGGAAATTATTTGCACAGTGTGTAGAATATTCCTGTAATATGCAATTATTTTATTGATCATAAAGCAACACTCTGTGCAGGGGATGAGCTTTAAATATAAAGTATGCCCCCAAGAAAAAATACAGGAGGGGGAAGAGAGGACAATTTATTTGAAGTTTTATCAGGAAAACATTAAGCATCATGGAGATCTGCCATGACTGTTCTCCCAGTTGAAAAAGACTCAATGGAATTGATTCATGCATCAGTTCTACCACTGGCTGTGATGAAGCTGAGCAGGAACAGTGATCATCCTTCCTGGCCTCGCCTGCTGTTCTTTACTCTTAAACAGAACCTAAGGGTTGGCCATTGATTCACCTATATTGTAATGGTGCAATGAAATGCTAGTTATAGATTGCTTGAATTTCACTTTCATAAATGTGACTTCTTCTGACCCCTCTCTGTTAGATTTTCCCCTCATTATTGCCTTTTTCTGTTCACTGGTCTGTATTTATAATTTTGACAATGCAACTTCTGAATACTAAATCAATAACTGAACAGAGAGTGGGGAAGTTCTGTAATCAACAGCAGATCTTTGCCAACTCTGTTGGTTGTACAGAAATTCGACATTATTTTGCTGGATCATTGGACAAATTAATTTCATTTCTGATGTAGTAATTTGAGCCTCATATTGAATATTCTTTACTGAGTTGTTGACTCATTCTTTTGCCTTTAATTGGAAACAACATGCAAACTCCATATCTTCTCACTTGATTCTGAGAACAACATGTATTAACATAAAGGCTGAACTGAATGTTCTGAATACATTTTTGTACCTATGTGGGTGTCGGAATGTTTAACCCTTTTTGCACTGGTTTATCCAGCAAGCTTGTATCCAAGGCAGAGCATTTTTAATGCATTTTGCTCACACATTGGGAGGCTGAAGAATGGCCTTGTAATTGTAGTGATACAGTAATTGTAGTGATACTGATTTTTTTTGGTCTTACCACAGTAGACCTTACTATAGTGCAGTACAATGCGGTTGTTGGGATCCATAAAATTCCGACCAGTCTTATAACGGGATGTGATCGTTGGTCAGAGCTTCCACATCATGACAACATCGAACACCACCAATTACATTTTGCATGTGCAAAGCTCCATCTTACTTCAAATTGGGATAAGCTTGAAAATATGAAGTATATGAAATATACTATAAAATCTAATATGCTGCAATTGTGTGTGTGTATATATAATATTCAAATGTCAGTAGATAACAAACTAGTATATTTAGTGTTCCTATGAGTTTTAAACAAATGGCAAGATTTTTCCACCTTGTACATTGATTTTGTCCCCCAAAACATAATTCCACAATCACCATTCAGAAAATGCTATTACTTGTCGGAAACTTGGTTTCAAAATGAAGATTGGCTTCTTCACAGATTTGCGACCGATTTACAATTTTGACCTTTTGAAGTTTTTTTTTAATTCAAAGCCAGTGAAATGTCACTGAACATTTTTAAATCTCTCCAAGCAACCATTGTGTTTGCTAAAATTTCTGTCAAATGCCAGCTTGGCTCACTTTTATTTTCTCAGTAATCATTTAGACATATATATTCACAGCCTAGGACCGCTGTGCAAACATTATTGCACACAACACTGACCACCCAGCAATTAGAAAGTGGTGCAAATAATCTAGCAACTAAAATTTTTGTTTTTTGCTGTAATTTTTCTCGGTCTATTCTGTCCAGTCATTATCACAATGATCTGTGATTTTTAGAACAATCCTTGGATTTAATATAGCACGTTATCACGTTCTTGAGATATCTCAAAGCACTTCACAGAATATATCATAAAATGAATTGACTGTATATTTTGTGGGTGAAACGTGACGGCCAATTGCACACAACAGTGTCCCACAAACAGTTGTGGATTGATTGACCAAATTANTTTTTTGGAGGGATTATTACCCCGTAAAGTGAATCACCAATCGACTGAACAACCTAGCTCCTACTTACCACTTGGTAAACAGAGGCGTGTGGAGTAAGAAAACTTGCCTAAGGTTTTGCCCTGCTTGGGAATCGAACCCAGGTCTTCTCGCTTGCGAGGAAAGTGCTCTAACCAACATGCTAATATGTGGCTGTACATAGAAACAGACTTGTCAATTCTAGTTTATTCATGAGCTCGAACGTTGATGTCTATCTTAGCAGAAAAATGCAATCTGGAGGAAAGAGGCCCATTTAACATACCCCAGCATCAACATTTGAATGCTGATTGCACATTTAACCAATAAGTAGTAACTCCTTTTATTATAGTTTAATATAATAGTTAATTAATAAAGCCGTTTTCACGATCCTGAAATGTTTAATCAATTAGGTTAATCAACGCGTCTTTTATGGGGCAGTGTGATTAAACAGAGCAGTACAAAATCAATTATTTTAATGGAACCATTCTAAATTCACAGTACACTGTACTTCCTTTATTTAATGAAAAGGTTGAGAAGCTAACCTCCTACTTTACTGAAAAAGGCTTAATTTTCTTGTGAATTTAACCCCTCCTCCATTAATTATTTGGATGTTTCTTCCTTTTGCTTTCTACCTTTCAAAATAAATAAGCAGCCCAGGTTGGATATTGATATTTTTTATGCTTCAAACCAAGGGTATCTATCATGCTCCAAAGGTTGCAAATGGATTTCACATTATAAATAAGTAAATTATTCATTTTAGTGATCAGCAAATGGTAGACTCTCAAATGTTCTGAAAAGCACTATAACATTCAACATAATTAGAAAAAATCTAAAGAAAAAATATTGCATCTTTGAAAGTTATTGCAAATATTCCTAATATTGCTAATGTGTGCCCAGATACACACACTCGCAGAAAAAAATTGCCTGTTTGTGGGACATTACTGTCTGCAAACTGGCTCCCGTGTTTGCCTACAAATACACAATGACTTACACCCTTTGTGACGTTTTCACCTGGTACAGTGCTTACAATGCTTGGGTTTTGCAACAGAAATATAATAATAATCCCTCAAGAAAAAAAACAATAATAAATTGTCACTTCAATCCACGGCTGTTCGTGGGACACTGCTGTGTCAATTCACTTTACAGTTTATTCTGTGAAGCGCTTTGAGATGTTTAGAAGGTGTGAAAAGCGCTATATCAAATGCAAGCATTATTATGTGAAGACTTTTTTCAATAGCTAGGTTTAGAACAGATCTGCAAGGTGAACATTAGAATTTCTTATTGGAAGTTTGCAAACTAATATTCTTGAATTTTATATTTAGACATTTTCTCACCCTATTTGCATTTTAGTTCTAGTTTAACACATCCAGAATACTGTATCAAATACTAAATGGAAATTGTCAACTATTGAATGGAAATGGAAATACTATATATTAATGTGTCCTCTCTGTGTGAGCATTGTCCTGTTGACATACTATAATATGTTTGGATAATACGACTCACTGTGTACTCGGTATTGGTAAGTTTGGTAACCTTGTGTGTATTTTTTACATGACAAAAAGGAAAATACAAATGCTAGTAATCTGAAAACAAAAGCAGAAATGAAAGAAATCCACAGCAAGTCAGCCAACACCTGAAAAAGAATGATAGGTTATTCTTTGGGGCATAGCCCTTCATCTAAATATTAAATTCTGCCACTCTTAAAGGCCTTCCGTTAGGATCTCAGGGAATTTCTTTGGACTGCCAACATAACACAGGGTGGCCCAGTTAGAACCTGCCCTCGTTGAGTCTACTGAGGATCTGTACTATACTGGAAGCAAAGCACATCCAACGTCTAGTGCTATCTAACCAGCTTCCTGAGCTACAAAATAGCCAATGTCTGGGTCATCAAGTTACTGCTATTGTGCAGGAAGTACTGCTGGAATCACTTTTCAAAAGAAGTGCCATCAGTGCCATTTCCACATTATGTCAGCAGCAAACAGACAACGCAGAAGAAATCATTTTAGGCTTAATTATAAATCAGCCTCATAGATATTTGAGCCAGTCGACTGAGTTACAACAGTATTTATTAATGGCACATTTACTGTAATTACAATTCAGCTACATGGCACATTTAACCTATTTACACTACTGTTACATTAAGTGTCATGTACTACCTTACAAAATTGTTTAACTTTCTACATCATAATTACAATAATCAAATTGTTCATTTTGTTTTCCAGAGTGTCTATAAATGTGATTTTCTCAACCTCCAGTTGCAGCAACCTCTTCAGCTTGCTCAAGATACTATAGATGCCTTTCTCAAGCGGCTAAAAGATCCAATCGACTCCCTTCCAGGAGAGCTGTTCCATATAGTTGTGTTTTCTCTTCTGCTGTCTTACTTCCCTGCCCCTTATCAACGTTGGATCTGCTGTAAGAAAGCCCATGAACTTCTGGCACTTAATGGCTTGCTTCTTATAATCACCCCAGATTCCTCTCACCAAAACAGGCATGCCTTTATGATTAAGAGCTGGAAGACTGCTATTGAGTCTCTGGGATTCAAAAGGTACAAGTATGTGAAGTTCTCCCACATGCACCTTTTGGCTTTTCGGAAAATATCTCTGCAGACAACAAGTGATCTCGTCAGCAGAAATTATCCGGAGATGCTCTATATTCCACAGGATTTCAATAATATGGATGAAGAGGAATACACAGACACCACTTGCCAAGTCCGTTCTGAATTGGAAGATGACCAGATAGCTTACAGTTTTATGGAGTTACCTGATGCACCATATGACTCAGACTCAGGAGAGAGTCAGTCAAGCTCCATCCCGTTCCATGAGTTGGAAGACCCAGTGTTGCTTTTAAGCTAACTTCAGACTTCCATTGCATTTGCTACTAGAGCTGCTGTGTTGCCAAAATAATTCTGCTGCATTAATTCTTGTATTGTATGCAGAACATGCAGTACAGTTTGCACATAGAAAATGTGAAGAGTTTACAAAATGGGTAACTTTATTTTCTACAACCCATGTTGGAAAAATAAAAGTATTTTAGGGGTATGCAACAAATGGAACACTTGGTAATGTCCTCAAGGAAGCATCTCCATTAGTATGTTGCGCGTATTCCCAGCAGTATAAATCGCCATAAATAAGAAAAAAGCTGACCAAATAATTCACAGACTATGTAACTGATGCTTGTGTTTTATTATCTATGTGAATTCACTACCCACTATATAGTTGCAGTGTTTCAGTCGTGGCAGTGCCATGAAATTGTTAACTGCAGGACAATGAGGTACAAGATGTGAAATTCACAAACTTGATCTGTTGTGTTAATTCCAACTTTATGTGTTGGATTACAAGATTCGCCAACAAGGAAATTGCAAATCCCCAAATGACCAAAATTGAAAATAGGCCAATAAGGAAAACATTAGCAGTTTTTCTCATCAGCTTTTTTCACACTGTTAGTTTCAGGTTCTCTGTTTTGGTGTATTTCACCATCAATTTCACAATCTGATATTTGCAAACCTTTGGACACAATTAACACATCAATTGTGATTGCATTTTAGACCTAATAACATATTTCAAATTTATAGAAACAAAAAGGTAGGAAAACATGCAGCAGCATAAATCTGCCAAAGTCAAATAAAAAGATGGTACTTACATATATGATCATAACAAGTTTTATCATAATGCTCATTATTTTATCCCTATGTAGTTCCCATTATCAGCCAGGTTGCCCCCAGGGACATTACTTAGACAGATAGTGAATTTGAAACTATTGTTTTTATCCCCTAATTTTGTTGCAATAGCAAATTTGTAAGGAAGTAAAACAAACTTATTTTAAGAAGGTGAACATTACTTGCTGCCTATAGTTAAGCTGTATTTCGCACTATTTCTGCAAACAATTATGCAGTTAGCCTCACAAAATTCAATGTTACATTTTATTAATGAACAGTTTGCTCTGTTCAGTTTTTGAACAAACTGGTATTGATTCTGTTGAAAGGAATATGCCATGTAGTCCTTGTGACCTTTGGCTGAAAATGATGACCTTGCACAAAACTGAATTCAATATTGCTTGGTCTGTGGTCAACATCGGTAAAGAAGTTTACAAGTAAATTGAGGAACAAAACAGGAAATCAAACCAATATGCTTCATTCTTGGCCTCAAGCAAGGGCAGATACCTGAAATGTGTCTCTGATGTCTTTGTCTCCATAGATCAGTGAATAGTTGGTAGATTTTTCTTACTGAAATGCCTAGGGTTATGTTATTTTCTAGCACATTAAACAAGGAAGGTGGAATGCATGCATATTGACCAGTTATTAGAGAATGGTACTTGAGTGAAAAATCTGTGGTTGCAAAGTAAACATTTATGAAGAAAATGAAATTTGAAAGCTTGACTTTTTCTTAATTGGGTTATGCATTATTTGTGTACAATATAAAATAGTAAATGCTTTGTTGCTTATAGTAGATGGGCCACTTTTCAATTAACGATAAGGTTGCTTTCAAATCAGAAAATAACTTGCATTCAAACTTATTAAATACCTTATTGACATGACATTAACCTTTTTTGGAAATAAATTGTTTCAAAATAGTGGCATTAACACTCAGGAACAATTAGTTATAAGAAAGTTGTAAATGGTTATATGTAACATAACAGTCAGAAATCTTCAACTTGCATTGAAATCCCCAGTGATAGACTGCCAAACGGTACATACAGAGCTCTGTACCATTAATTTACATATTGCCAATCTTGATCTAGAAATGGCTTTCTATTCTAGTGTGTGGTTTTAATGGCCTGCATATACCAACATTGCAGTATTTTCAAGTCGCATGAGTCATTCCAATCTTACCATGTTCTAGCATGCTCAGCATTGATGTCTAGTGTTTGATTTACAGATATTCTCTATGGCTCTCCAATGAATACTTAAGGTTTCCGTTGGAGATATTCCATAGTCAGAATTAAATTAATGCAATCATCGATGGTGCTTTTAAATAGATAAAAAAAACATTGCTTGACTTGGTCTAAAATCAAGTAGACATGGATCCTTGGGATTGTTTAATCTACCTAGGTATATGAAATAATCAAAGAACGATGATAATACTAAAAGATGAGTAATCTACGTTTCCTATTTTGGTGGGCTCAAGAATAGTATCCTGTGAATTCTCATGATGATCTGTGAAACCTACTGCATCTGGATTTGATGGCCTGGATTGACATTCATCTTCGGTATTTATATTTACACCAGTTGACCCCTAACCCTTTGTGTATGGAATGACTTATGCAACTTAGAAAACACATCTTTTATTAAATATCTAGCAGATTTCTGTAAATTTCTCTTACTGAATATTTTTATATAAGAGAATGTATAATTATAAAAAGCAATAATTCTCAATCTCTGGGCAATTTAAATTGAAATCATAGTTTTCATTTTGGTGCATTCCATAAAGGGTTTAACTCCCAACTTTCTAGAGTTTTGAACAATGTTGATCACAACAATATTGGCATTTTCATTTGCTCTCTCCTGCACCCCCCCCCCCCCCCCACCCCCCACACTTTATCCTTAATGGTCAGATATTACTGGCTTCCCAGCTTCCAGCACTTCTATTTCCAAAATTCACAGGTACATTGACAGCATTCAGACATGAGGACATTGAAACCTGCAGTACAAAAATAATAATAATAATCTTTGCATTTGATATAGCGCTTTTAACGTCTTCTAGACATCTCAAAGCGCTTCACAGAATATGCTGTTAAGTGAATTGACTATTTGTGGGCGAAACGCGGCAACCAATTGCGCACAGCAGTGTCCCACAAACAGTGGATTGAAAATGACCAATTTATTATTGTTTTGGAGGGATTCATGTACAGGTAATTCAATAACTAATTGATACTGAAAGTACTTTAAAAGATCATGTTCAGTTTCAATTACTACTTCAATGCATTGTTACGTTTCTGTTAAGGATGGCATGATCAGGTATTAATGCAAAAGAATTGGATGGCATAGACACAAGTGCAGACTAATGAAAAGACTGCTGTACAAATTTAGGTGGACTCATTGGTGGCTCATGAAAGGTGATCTTAGTTGCAGGTAAAAGCCCACTGGCAACATTTAGTAGTAAATGTGGAGCAATATTTTTGGTCTACAAAAATAACAATGTTTGCTTACTTATTAACTAATTTCCATTTTTTTAAAGAAAAACTGCATAATCTTAAATTGAAAAGCATTAAACAACTACTCAGTAACAGAATGGTGTGTCTCCTGGTTATATTTAGATCTGATGTTGTTAGGTGATCTATTAAAAATGCATCTTTAATTCACATTTTTCTCAGAAAGCACAATTCTACATGATTTTCATAGTGTGGATTTACAGCAAATCTGAACGTTGTAATAAAATGTAAAGGGATTCCATTTGCCGGCATATTTTTTTAAAAGAAATTGGCAAGTTATCCTATTCACCAGCCAAAGGTTAGCAGGTAGAATGGCATGTTTTAGGAATGCCACTGTGTGGAATTGTGTCTGACTGTTGCATTTTGTGGAAAGTTTACCTCATAATGAGGTTTTGCACTAAAGCCTTGTAACCTGGGATACAACTATTTTGCTTTTAAGTGCATTTCAGTCAGCTGTTGCTCAATTTGTTCTGATTTAAGTTTACTTTGAACTTTTAATCCTTTGAATTTATGTTTTTGTTCTGGTTGCTTTCGACTACATTAGAGATGAAAAGAAATTGCACTTTTGCTTCAGTGTCTTGTAATCTCATTTTTTCTGGTTTTGTATTGTTTCTACTTATTGTTTAAAGACTGTGAAGATTGATCACTGGTGATGTTTAATCCTGAAATGGTGTTTTGTTCACTTGGGTTTGTTCTGTAACATTATTTGTTAAGTTTTCAACATCTTGGGAAAAATCATTTTACTTTACATCAGTAAGCCCTTTTGAAATCTAAAACATCTTTATATCACCAACAAATTGAAAACTATTATTCCTAAGAAATTCACATTCTCAGAAAATGCCTCAATGCTCATAGTTCTCTTATACTGAATAATATGACATCTACAGGTGAACTCTGGAATCAATTAAATTGTCACATATTGGCAGGGGAGTACTGCTGCTGTTCTATTTAATTGGAGGGTAAGCTGTCAGGAAGAGAATACCAATTGAAAGCTCTTTAAGATACTCCTGTTAAGGCACAAGGTATTAGAAGCTAACCCACATTACTTCAAAAAAGATAAAAATTGCACAAATGGTCAAAATGTAAGCTAGATGTCAAGCTGTCTATCATTGGCAAATAAACACAGTTGAAGATGGCTATAATTTATGCAGATAATATAACGGTTACATCTTGTTAACTATTGAACCCTATTGTTATCACTAAATGCCCAAGTGTTGATCTGCTGAATGATGTCGTTGGTGCTAAAATATTCAGATATATTCATTGTTTTGTTTCATTTGTACTTGATGCATTTTATTATTTCTATTATTTGTATATCAACACATTTGTTGGACACATGATGGGAAGTTTCACTGAATGTCTGTCCAGTGGCACCTTTTTGTTTGTAGGATCAATGTCATCCCTACTAAAAAAAGAATGTGATTTTTCTATTGTATGTAAACTTAATTTTTCATACTGAAAGTGCTTAAAATTATACTTGTTGGTAACAGTCACTTAAAAATGGTAAAATTGCATTGTGACAGAACTACAATTTTCTGAGTTTCGGCTGTGTAGTTGCTAGGGCAATAAACTGAAATTTACAAGACACATACACCATTGTGATAATTGCATTTTTATGACCCTTAGGTATACACATAAAACCCTTGTTTGTAATCCAGATGTGTAAACTAAATTTATTTGTCCTGTCTGTTACATTGTGCTGAATTGATGGGTTTTTTTGTCTTTGAAGACCTGAGTTCAAAATCAGCAGATACTATGATTCACATCAGCAATGAAAAATGAAATTCAATCTGGTCTCCAGTGGTTATAATGAGTAAGCATGCAGAAACAGCATCTAATCTGACTGTTTTAGTTCAGGGGGTCCAGTTCAGTTGTGCAGAAAATGGAAATTATTGTTCAGTAACGAAGACTTCAGAAATTGACTAAAACTACAGGATGCCCAACATTCCTCCTTGCTCTTACTGAGGCTGACGAGAAACATTTTCCTGTCAAGATATCACTTAGAGAAGAAGGTATTTTGTTTACGTCAAGCTTTCTCAAATCTTTGTGTGGGAGGGATGAGAAAGTGATGGTTAGTACCCGATTTTGGCAGTGCTGGGATAACCTAAAAATCCAGATTAAAACTAGTATCAGCATTTTCTTCTGTAAAACAGTCGCAATGAATCTAACTAAAAATGTTTTACTATAAAGAGGCATGTTCATCACTATTTAACTAGTGTCTCTGTGATACATTCGGATTGAACAGATTTCTCCCTAAACCCTATTTGGATCAGATGGCAGAAAATCATCACCTAGCTCCAGTGAGCAAATTACCCATTTTTCGTTCCTGGCTAATGAACCTTATCCTCAAACAACACCATAGTGGCAAAAAGATGCCTCTGCAACAATCTATTGCTGCTTGGCATCTTTGATCACTAAATAGTGGCCTCTTTGACCAGATAATGCAGTTTGTGGCTTTTTCATAGTTCCCAGCTTGTTTCAACACATTATTTTAGAGATCAAAAGGTGTGTGTATCTGACTGAATGTCACAAGGTAAACACGTTCCTGTGTTGTGCAACTTCTGTGACTAACCAGCTGTTAAATGTGGATCAGTTAATACTTGTGGAGTCCTGTAGCTCAGTGGTTAGAGCACTCGCTTTGCAAGCGAGAGACCGGAGTTCAATTCCAGGCAGTGCGAAACCTTGGGCAAGTTTCCTTACTCCACACGCCTAATAATAATCGCTCCAAAACCAAAAACAATAATAAATTGGTCATTTTCAATCTAAGACTGTTTGTGGGACATTGCTGTGCGCAATTGGCTGCCGCGTTCGCCCACAAATATACAGTCAATTCACTTTACAGTGTGTTCTGTGAAGCGCTTTGGGACGTCCTCCTGACATGAAAAGCGCAATTTCAAATGCAAGGATTACTATTATTATTATTACTTCTTATGCCTTCAGATTTTTGGAGGTGAAAGTTAACTTGTCTACATGCTCGCAACAATACACACACTACAAGAGGATGATTGTGGAATAGTTTTAAGTGGTGAATTGCAAAACTAATATTAAGTTTTGTCCTGTAGAATACCTGTAATCGGATTTTAATATCTGATTACAGGTATTCTACAGGACAAACCTCAATACTACAGATGAAATTATTGTCAACCTGGCGCAGTAGTAGCATCCTCGCTTCTGAGTCAGAAGGTCATGGATTCAAGCCCCACATCGGGACTTGGAATCACATAGTCCAAGCTGACACTCCCATAATCCAAAAATATTATTATACAGGATTGGGATTCAAATTAACTATTGTACTTGTGTACAGTATTGTCTTTCAAGAACACAATTGCTCAACAGTGTTCAGAGTAAAAGCAAAATTAAGTGTCACATTTTGAAATTGATCTAAGCAAAACTGAGATCAAATGAAAATTAAGAATTTAGGAATCTTTATCAGTGGTAGAATCACCACACAGAAATATGCCTCCCAACAGAGACAACAACGACCTGGGATGTTTATCTCTTAAGAAATTGATGTGCTTCCTTATTTTTGCTTTGTCGTAAACGTGAGATAAGCATTCAGTTATTTGATTGCTGAAAGGAATTGTGAGACTCAAGGGAGAAACATTACAGTAGCAGTAAAATTGCTTTTTTCTGAAAGAAATAGTGAATCAATCAAGTATAATCATAGCTATGAGCTACACGTCTGTGGAGGTTGAACCACTTTCAAAGGTTAAGAAGACTTATCGTAAGTAAGTAATCTAAACTTACTTGGATACTTATACACACAAGGATTTGTAAGAAACTCAATTTGCTGCTTAGTTTCCTAAAGCCTATTCCAAAAGGAAATGATGAGATAGAGGGATACCCATTTTTTTATTACAATAAAAAGCTTGCACTTATATAACACCTTCAAGTAGGACGATATCTCAAAGCATTTCACAGCAATGCCAAGCAATGAGGACGGAAAGATGAATTTAAGCAAAGCATTGTCAAAATGGGTTTTGAAAGCAGGAAGAGAATGGAACAATCAGAAGTGTCAAAGATTTTTTCACCAATGGTAGGACAAAGAGAGAGGAACAAGCAGTAGACCAAGTTGCATAAAATGGCAGATACATTTGGGAGGATAGGCAGGATTATTTTGCACTGTGAAAGGTTCAACCTCCTCTTAAATTAATATTATGATAAATTGGGTGTCAATGGGCTGTTGGTGAGGCTAATAGGACAGGGCATGTATGATGGCCCGTAGCACATCCAAAAAGGGAATTCAGGAGAAACTTCATAATGCAGAGAGTGGTGATAATGTGAAACTTACTGCCGGAACCTGTGGTCGAAGCAAAAAAAAAACAGTATTCAGTGTATTTAAGAAGAAATCTGATGCACACATTTGGGGAAAGGAAATGGGGGGTGAGAGGGGTTGGGGGGGCTGCTGCGGAGTATAACCAAGGCACAGGCTTGTTAATAACAACAATAATCCTGGCATTTGATACATATATATATATATAGCGCCTTATCACATCTTCGAGACTTTTCAAAGTGAATTTTTTTTAAAAAAAATTGTTGCGAGGAATGCATAGCCTGTTGCCCGGGCAGTGTGGTTCCGTGTGATTCTGATCAAGAAGGGACCTCTTCACCCCCCTGGTGAACAAGATGAGCAGCTCTCTGTCACAGTCTCTGTCACAGTCTCTGTCACTGTCTCTGACACAGACACAAGAAAGAGCTGGCACTGAGCCGCGCATGCGCGTTTGTCCGAGCAACGTTGTCAGGTTGGGCGGGTTTCACGCCCAATTGGGCGTTTTCTTGGGGGCTCTGAACCAAACGGCTTTGGGCGCTTTGTTTCTTTTAAAAAATAAAACTGCAGAACCTTCGCCCCCCCCTCCTTAGAAGACTTTTTCCTGACCGCAGTTTCAAAAGCACTGACCTAACTTGGCTCTTGGCCCCGCTGTGCTGCTGCCCGCAGGAGTGGCGAGGCGGTGCCGCACGTTGGGCTACGTTTGGGCTACAAACGATTTTAACTTCTGGCCCCTCCCCCCCGATACAAGATGGCGGCTGGTGAGGAGGCGGCGGCGTGAGTGAAGCTGAAGGTCGGCTCCCAACAGCGGCTCCGATACACCCCCGGCCCGGCCCGGCCCGGCCCCGACATCGCCGCCTCGCCCTTCTCCTCTTCAGGTCAGGAGACAGGTAAAGAGACGTCCCGGACCCTGGCTTCACTCAGCCCAGGTCCCCAGCCCGGGCCCCCAGCCCAGGCCCCCCAGCCCGAGGCCCTCAGCCCAGGGCCCCCAGCCCAGGCCCCCCAGCCCAGGGCCCCCCGGCTCAGCCCAGGGCCCTCAGCCCGGGCCCCCCAGCCCGGGCCCTCAGCCCGGGGCCCTCAGCCCAGGCATACCCCCCCCCGGCTCAGCCGAACCACACCAGAGCCCTGGGTCAGGGGGACAGTGGCCCCTTCGCTTTGCTCACATGTTTCCCGACTCCAAACGCCTCTGCTTAAGTAGCAGTAAATAGGGAACCGGTTGTTAGTCGGTCGGCCGATCGCTTTCCAGGGAGTAATAATCCCGTCAAAAGAATGATACTTTGGTCACTCAATCCATGACTGTTTGTGGGACATTGCTGTGCGCAATTAGCTGCCGCGTTTCACCCACAAAATACATGCACCCAAAAGTCAGGATTACTTCTGACACCTTCCTCTTTTTAATCCCTCCCCCCCATCCGCTATAGTCCATTATTAATGGAGGATAAAACAAGACGTTAAAAGAAGAATGGAACAAATTGCCTGAAAGAACTATCTTCTCCTCTTCCTCCTCCTCTCCCCGCCCGACCCATAAAGGTATGTCCTGGTCATATTTCAATTCGCTTTGTGAATTGATGCCATCTGAATACATTTTTGAAAGGGCTGATATTCCTCAGGGTAGTATTGTTTTGTGCGTAGCTTCCGAGCAACAATTTTACTTCAGGTAAAAGATTATCAATCAGTTCTAGGTAACGTGTAGATAAAAGGAGCTGATTGATGGTGCTGAGATCGTTAAGAAATATGGTGAACCTTTTTCTGTTTCAAAATTTAGCATGAAATTGTAACAAGTGGAGTTTGTGGAGCCAGAAGTGCAATCTGTCCTAATATAGCAATAAGATGGATATTCCACGTTGAATCACCAGTTTCTCTGAAATCTGTGCTTTGATTTAGATTCTGTTAAATTTTATATTATCTAACTGAATAAAATTGGATGTGGTTACTTACATTCCTTATCCCTCTCCCAACAAAAATGTTGGGCTCAGTGATGCCAATTCATATTTAATCATGTTAAAGGATAAATATTTACATATTTATTTTTTTTAATTTAAAAGCAAGGTTTAATTTAGATCTGAGTAATGTTTCCTGTCCAAAAAGACAACAGTGATGGAAGAGGATTGAGGGTGTGGGATGTGGCCCAAATCTAAGAGATGTAGAGTACCAGAACAACTTAATGTCATGAAGTTGATTTATTTGATCAACTATTGAAACTTTACATTTGTTGCTATTATCATATTCTATAGTAATTCAAGAGTTTTGTTCTTCAAACCCAACAAAGCTACAATGTATTTTTAAAGGTTATTTTGTCGTCCAGTGTTATTTCATATTTGAGTTGTGTTTCAAAACTAAATTGCCATATTAAATGATACAACAATAAAGCTAATATATTATTTGGATCAGTGTGGGTGAAGAGATGGTGATTGTATAGTCCTCCTTTCTGTGGATGTGCTTCTGTCACTAATTATACATCTAGGTTTAAGATCTGTGCATTGTCTGAAATGTGAATGTGCCAGTCATAGTCAATGCTCAGCTGTAGATCTTGAATGGAAGATGTCATCAGTGTATTGTAATTGTGGCCAATCTTGAATGGTCAGCGAGTAGCCTAAATTAGTTTGGAAGTGGGAAGCATTGCACAATTCCAATTAATATATTTAAGAATGCATCCAAATTGACTGATTCTATTCGAGCCTTATTCATTCTAGTAAACCTGCGTGGAACTAAGTGAAAAAACAGCCTTAATATTACAATGATTGTCATTCTATTCTTTATTGCCAAGCAAAAATAAAATCAAATTCAAGGTTTAAAAAAGGTTTCTGCCCAGCTTCCATATTTATGATTAGAAAATCTTGTAATAATTCCATGAACTGGAAAGCTTCAATCCCAGAAATAATGTTCTTCAATTTCTATCACCATGATTGTACACTTTCAGTGAGATGATGTAAACTTGACTTTGAAGAATTATTGTAAAACTTTCAGTGAGCCAATGTGAACTCTCAAAAATTATATGTACTCTAGAACTTAAACTACATCATTTTACTGAATGCTGTTTTGATGAGGATACATTCTGGGACTCGTTCATTGGGTGACAGATTACTTAAATTTCAACCATAACACAGGAGTCCTGTAGCTTAGTGGTTAGAGCACTCGCTTCGCAAGTGAGAGAATCTGGGTTTGATTCCTGGGTGGGGCGAAGCTTTGGGCATATTTCCTTACTCCACACACATGTGTTTACCTACGAGAAATTAGAACCTGTTTGTTAGTCGATTTGCGGATCGCATTTCCAGGGGTAATGATACTTCAATAAAATAATAATAATTTGGTCACTTAATCCATGACTGTTTGTGGGGCACTGCTGTGCGTAATTGGCTGCTGCGTTTCGCCCACAAAACATACAGTCACTACATTTTTTTACAGTATATTCTGTGAAGCGCTTTGAGACGTCTAGGAGACATAAGGCACGATATCAAATGCAAGGATTATTATTATTGTTTAAAACATTTGATGTGGTTAATGCCTTGCAGCTCACTCACGGTTATTGTATATGCATTTTCTATTTCTAAAAGTTGTGGTGTTTTATTTTAAGGTTTTCACTTTTAGGAGTCTGAGTCTTCAATGAAGCTTTATTCGTGAAAAATGGAACAGTAGACGACGAACAGCATCTGGACTGTATGTTGCGGACCTGCATAAATCTAAAATCACCAGAATCTGGACAGACCCTTGACAATCATATTACATGTGTAAATCATTGCGTTATTGTGTGAGCCACTGTCTTTATGCAGTCATGACAAGACTGGAAGAACTTAATAGAGAAACAAATATGCATTCCTCGGTACGATACCTTGGCTATCTAGCAAATATAAATTTGCTAGTGGCCATTTGTATGGGACTGTATGTCAGATGGGAGAAGACAGAAAATCTGTTGCTGCTTGTCATCTTCATCCTCGGACTCTTTGTGCTTGGCATTGCTAGCATATTGTACTACTACTTCTCCATGGAAACAGCAAGCTTGAGTCTTTCTCATCTCTGGTTTGGATTTTTACTGGGCCTTCTCAGTTTTATAGATAATTCTAAATTTCAATATGACGTGAAGGAAGAAGCCACCAAATACTTACTTCTGACAAGCATTGTGATTCGAACTTTGTGGGCAGTGGTGCAGAGAATTTGTGGATGTGTCCGACATCAACCTGCACTCTTAACATCTGCGGAGTTCCTGGAACTAGTTGGATTTGCCATAGCCAGCACTGCCATGCTGATGCCTAAATGCATGAGTGTCATCTTGCTTGTTTTGGCATTGTCCATGTTAATTATTGATCTACGGATGAAGTCTTTCCTGGCAGTTCCAAATTTGATAGCCTTTGCAGTGATTACATCCCTGTTGTTTTTTCCATCTTTGGACATTAGTACTAACCCATTTGCCTTAGCTTGCTATTTCAGCCGCCTGATCTGTGACCCTCTGCTGGATCTTTACTTCAGTGGCTTATCTGTTACTGAACGATGGAAGCCTTATCTGTATGGCCGGACACTGTGCAGAAGACTTTCCATACTTCCTGTTGCTTCTGTAGAACTCATATTCTTTGTCCTGTCTGCATTAAAACTGAACGACTTAGGTTATTGGTACTTTTTGATACCTGGGTTTGCCATATTCGGAATCTTCTGGTTGATCTGCCATACAATATTTCTCATAACCTTCTGGGGGTTTCATACAAAACTCAATGACTGCCAAAAGATCTACCAAACTCATAGAATAGACAATAAGAGTCTGGATTGTGTCATGGCATCCAAGGGAATGCGCCATTTTTGTCTGATTTCTGAACGATTGGTCCTTTTTAGCCTTTTATCCACAGCAATTTTGGGCGCAGTCTCCTGGCAGGTATGTAATGAACAGCGCTATGGTTTGTCTAAGGATTTTTTTTTTCTTTTCCACATATATGTCCAGAAAACTTTGACATACAAGTTCAAAGTCTTAACTGGATTCCTTTCATAAATCTTTGTTGAGAACCACATATGCATTTGTATATAAATGCAATTTCAGCACCTTGGGACGTCCTCCTGGTGTGAAGGGCGCTATACAAATGTAATTTTGTTGTTGTTGTAAGCACTTTATTGTGACTAGGGCTACAGATTTATCATGGTGGAAAAATGCCACGAATACTGTGATTTTTTTTCATTTATTCGTGCCAAAACCCGCATGCGCCAGCCTCTCTCAAGATTAATGCGAGAAATTCAAATTGTTCTCGCAGATCGGTGCGCACAGCCCAGCCACTTCCTGCGCTCACAAGTAGGATTTCCTATTAGACATTGGAAATGCTGGGAGTTACAAAATATAGTTGCCATTTCCATACCCATCACTTCTCCCAAGATAATTCCTGTAAACGCGCGACGTTCACTTTATTTACCATGACTGCTCCACATTTTTTACAAAAAAAATCTGCAGCCCTAATTATGACGCAAAGTAATGGTCTGGTATACATTATGAAATGAGGGACATGGTACAGAGTTTTCAAATTAGAGAGTGCAATTGCGATATTGAACATTCTGGAATGTCTACCAATAGCTTCCTAGTTATAAATAAATTACAACAATGCAATGGGATTAAGGACAGCATCTTTAATGTGTATTGAACTTACTTAGATAGAGGGAATTCTTTTTATTTACAAATACAAAATACATTTTGTATTTTTATTTATCTATTAATTTTCATCAAACTTAGGAAATACTGCACTTCCAAGCAGGGAAGGAAACGCTAAGGGTTTTTGTTCTGTATCATACTTTGAGGCCAGTGAAAATGACAGTGGCAAAAGCCAGTAAATTGGCTGCTGTCATTTGTCCTTTTGATCAACAAATGGAACCAAGGATCCTTAAGAAGGGAGAAAATAATGGGGAAATTGTTATTTAAAAAAACAACATATTGGCACATTTCTGAATTCAGGTTTATACCTTTACACTTTTTTCAAGGTCTAGTTTCGTGACCTACCTCTTTGACAGTGCTTTCGACTCCCCAGGCCCCCTCAGTTCCTACCTCCAGATTGGGTACCAAGGCGGATTGTTAGGCAGCTTGGGACATTCAAGGTGCCTATTTACATTTATATAGCATGTGAAAAGTGCTATATAAATGTAAATTCATATTGTATTTTAAATATCAAATAGTGCTTTTTACTGAAATGTTTCATCTGTTTATTTACACTGCAGCCAACAAATGGGACCTTTATGAGCGTGTTCCTTGTTGTTTTACCATTGGAGTCGTTAGCTCATGGTCTGTTTCATGAATTGGGCAATTGTTTAGGAGGAACATGTGTGGGATATGCTGTTGTAATCCCTACAAATTACTGCAGGTAAATTATATTGTTATATATACTGTTCATGCACAATCGCAACACTTAAGATAATTTGAGCAAATTTTTTTCTTAAGGAACCTAGATATTAAAACTTTGCTTTTACTTATACTTATTGAAGATTTGTATCGCCGTGTATGTACTATTAATGGTACCTCTGAAATGCCTTAGAGCTGCACAGCTACTTTTCTTTAATATAAAATGTGTTGGGATGCACAATAACTGCAATTGAATGTTTGTCAAGCCTATTTTAGTTGTATGAACTATGTTACAATATGATCTGAACCATATGTTGGTGCGCACTCATATTGTAATCTGTATACTGATACGTGCCTACCTACTGTGGATCCCGTGTGGGAGAAACAAGTCTTTCTGTTTTAGAATATCTGCTGTTGAGTTAGGGAATACAGTTGTTAACAATATAATGTCTTGTTCCACTTTAAACAAACCCGTAAGCAGAATAGCCAGTGTGCCCTTAATACATCTTAGTGGGTGGTTTATTAGCTTATGAACAGTTTTTGCAGGAAGTTACTCACGTTATTTTCTTTTCTAATAGTCCTGATGGCCAGCCAACACTCCTTCCTCCTGAGCATGTTCAAGAGTTGAATCTTCGTTCCACAGCCACGCTAAGCGCTATCCAGAGATTTTTTGCCTTTCACATGATTGAGACCTGTGGCTGTGACTACTCTACCAGTGGCCTTTCTTTGGACACACTTCAGTCAAAAGTAAAGGGATTTCTTGATCTGCGTACACAAGATGGACCCAGACATGATACCTACATCCTGTATTACAGTGGTCATTCTCACAGCTCGGGTGAATGGGCGTTAGCAGGTACAGTATGGGGAAGACATTATCCTTGATTGTTGTGAAAGTTAATTAGCATTTCTGTTTCTTTATCCCACTGATCCTTGTACTTATTTATCTATAAATTGCTTTCAAATGTTTTTTCTGAAAACCTTTTTTTAAAATCTCCCTTCCACTCCTCATCTGAGTGAACACAGGGGGCTCTTCGACCTTTCATAGTGCCATTCTATAACTGATGGATATGATTGAATATCCTGTGTTGTTTTGCCCTCAGGTTTTTATATTTCTGCTGGGAGATGCGACTCCCACCCATACCTGTAGTATTGTCTTATTGGCCAACCTGTGATAAAGCAAAGTTTATAGTTTTAATTGTGTATCATACAACTCATGGTTTATGCAGCTTTCGACAAATCTTCAAAGATCTCTTAATGACCCAGTTGTTTAAGACACTGATAAGTCTAGCACTAAGACATAGAGCTAAGTTCAAATCTGTCTTTTTGATTTAGTTGATCTCTGGTCAGCAGTAGAACGCTACAGTTGGGCTTGAGGGTTAGTGATGAGACAATCATCCCAGATCATTGAGGCTGGAGGTCAACTCCTTCAGGAGAAGAGGATTGGAGAAAATTGGCACATAGAAAAACAAAGCTCTTCATTAAATTGTGACATTATGGAACTTTTTACAAAAAGAATTATACACATCTGCAATTCTGCAGATGTTGTGTGACAGATGGACACTGTAATCCCTTCAATATTATGATCTTTGAAAAAGCTTTCTTTCTCCCCCCCCCCCCACCCCTTATTTTATATGAAGTGTAGCATTACGTGCAGTTTGCGGCTGTTAGCTTCAAACAGCAGTTAATAATAAAAATAGCCCTTACTATAACACAACAATCATACTAATATTATATTCCAATATTATTAGAGAACTATTAGTCACCTTTTTAATTAAACATAGTCCCTTTTTATAGTATAAAAGGCATGACTGTACTAAGGATATTAATCCAGAGCTTGTGAAAAATATAAGCAATGTCGTGCTTTTAAAAATGAGAACCCAGCGGCCTGACGGTTGATTGTATTGATTTTAGATTTGAAGCTTTTTTAAAATAAATTAGTGGGATTAATAGTTGGAAGATTATGATTGTCTATTCACTGCAGTTAAATTGCATAAAAAATCGGAGTCCTGTAGCTCAGTGGTTAGAGTACTTGCCTTGCAAGCAAGAGACCTGGGTTCGATACTCGGCAGAGTGAAACCTTGGGGAAGTTTCCTTACTCCACGTGCCTGATAATAATCCCTCAAGAAAAAAAAACAATAATAAATTGGTCACTTCAATCCACAACTATTTGTGGGACACTGTTGTGCGCAATTGGTTGCCGCGTTTCGCCCACAAAACATACAGTCAATTTACTTTACAGTATATTCTGTGAAGCGCCTTGAGACGTCCAGTGCAAGGATTATTTTAAATTATGTAAACTCCAGTCTAGACCAAACTGAAATGTCAAAGGTCAACAACTGCATTGACAGACTGCCAAGAAAACGAGAAAATAACTACCACAACAAGATTTATTTTTGAAATTTTATATTGATTTTTTTCTCCTTTCTGTTGAGTGAAGGGCGTCTGGTTGCTGCAGTGGAGAATAACGATAATTTCAACCTATTTGATATTTGGGGAGGCACGAATGTAGGCATTTTGGTTGTCCTTCTATAAGTTTTCAGTTGATTGACAGTTAGAGTTGCATTGTTCCTATTGTTACAGAAGCTTCTCCAATGAGATTTAAGAAAGACTTTATTCCCAATGTGGCTCAATTGACAGAAGTTTGTGGATTCAAACCACATATGGGGAATTTGAACTATCCTCACTATCCTCATGTGGGAGGGGCTGGAGTTAAGCGGTGAACTGTAATGGCGTACTCCTGGAGAGTTTAACCAGCTAAAACTTTGCAGCTTGCCATTGCAAACAAGCTTCCAATTGTTGGACAAGATAGACAATTGTGGAGAGTTCAATGACTCGGCCACCATTCCCACCTGACTGGCAAAAGATGCATGTGGGCAACTACCCTAGTAAAGAAAACTGTAATACAGTGTATATCAAACCTTGAGTCTTAAGTTTTACATACAGGCTAATAATGTTGGTTTTGCTTCTTTCTGTAGGCTTATTAAGAATGGCAGGTAAATTGAGCTTGACAGTTTTAATTAAATATGAACCCAAAGTACAAGTTATCCTTAAAATGGATGTCAGTCTAAACTTGCAGGATAGAGTGCAGGTTAGAAATCTTGTAGGATTTTAGCTTGAAGTTGTGTGGTTTTCCTTCTCTAGATTTCTGTTTGCCCACCCATATCTGTAATGTATTATCTAACCCTTAGCCAGATATAAAGAGATAACAGTGTCTGACATCATTTTAAGTGCAACAAATTGGGTCCAGTTTCAATTTCTAATCTCTTATCTATCTTGGCACAGGCATTTATTCTGATAAGACTACTGTATTGTAAAAATAATACTATATATAGAAGGAAGAACCCATTAATATTTAACTAAGCTTGAAGTCAGAGTTTTGCAGATCTCGTTTATTTTTCTGTAGAACATTTAACCTCCAGTTTAGATTTAGATTGCCGAAACACATAACCAATAGGAAGAGTATACAACATTTGGAATTAATTTCTCACGCACATTTTGAAGTGTATTGTTAAAGATGCAGGAAAGATTGCTTGCTTATAAATCTAATGGCAACCTGCTGTAATCCTTTGTATAATCGAGTTAACCTTTTGTTTTTACTGTGGAAAGTTATAATGTACATTGCATTTTGGGTCATGTACTTATAAAAGTAACAGATGGAGCAATTCTCACTCCTTCCAGGCAGTAGGTGGGGTTATTACAGCTTTTGTTTGCACTTTCAAATTATTACCTTGAAGTTGCAACACCATTCAGCATTAAAATGAGATGAATTTCAGCAGGGATCAGTTAAACGTGCTGTTTCTGAGCAAGATTTCATTTTATTCTGAGTTTTGCCCTGTTTGCATGTAGGAGGAGAAACATTGAGGCTGGAGACAATCTTGGAATGGTGGAAGGAGAAGAATGCAGGCTTCTGCTCCCGTCTGATAATTGTATTGGACTGTGAGAATTCTTTGCCATGGGTTAAAGATGTAAGAAGAGTTAGTGAAAATTTTGTTGCAGTACAAGGTGCAGAACTGGCCAAAGATGTAAATATCGAGGAAGCAGATCTTCCGCAATTAGGTGACTTCACTAAAGAATGGGTAGAGTACAACTGCAACTCCGACAACATCATCAACTGGGTCGATAAAGGAAGAACAGTAATGGCGGTTTATGGCATCTCCAAATCCTGGAGTGACTATACTCTCCATTTACCATCAGGCAGTGATGTTGCCAAACATTGGATGATATACTTTCCTCGCATCACCTATCCTCTCGTGCACTTGGCAGATTGGTGTGGTGGGCTGAACCTTTTTTGGATTTGTAATATTTGCTTCAGATGTTTCAAAAGATTGAAAATGAGATGGTTCCCACCCTCAGTCCTGGACACAGGACAAGGGTTCAAACTTGTGAAATCATGAGACTTCTTCAGATGTCAAATGCCTAAAGGAGACTTTTTTTGCACTTAACAGGCATCCCTCCCAAAGATTCTGGACATAAAGAATTGTAATAGCTAATGGGTTGCAGTTGCCAAAAAGCTACTGGTTTACCCAGAGCCGGAGTTTATAAAATTCAAATGATTTCAGGGTTCATTGAGGCTTGACACAGGTTTTTTTTTGTAAATTGCTGATTTAACCTACAGCAGTGTTTCTGTTAATAAGGAGCTGCTGTATTAACATTATTAACTGTTTTTAGCGCACTGTTACTTCTAACACATGTAATTATTTGAAAACAATTCAAAAATGGAAATGGTGGATGTATAATTATACATTATTTAAAAATGTCATGGCCCACATATTTTGGGTAGGGGAGCGGAGTAAGAAAAGTGATGAGCACACATTAATAAATATTTTGAGCCTTAAAATTGATTCTCAAGCTAATGTATTTTTGAAATTTTGTTAACTTTTGTGTCCTTTGATGAAAACGTCTGTTCAAAACCTCTATCTATAATGTATTGTTTCGATTTGGTTGTCCAGTTTTATGTATTTCATTGCTTTCAATTGAATTTGGTTAGCAGGTAAACAAATAGTCTGTGGACTGGAGCAGCGATTGATGATAATGCTGAGAGAGTATCCAGATTGATTGGCATGAAAATAGCTTCCAAAGACTTTCAGTATTGATATTTGATAAATTTTGCTACATCAATACTAATGTACTGCATTCATCACTGTCATTAACATTTTGATGTTGCTCCTGGCAATACATTTGTGTTATGACAACATCCACAGGTCATACTTTGTTTGATGGCCAGGAACATAGCAATATGAAGTTTAAGGCCTATTGCACTGTATTTTAACCATTTTTAAAAGGTGTATAACAAAGTGCCCCCATTAGTTTCCAGAATTTAAAATATTTACTACAGCTACTTACCTTGTGGGGATTTCTTAAATCCATTGTAATACCACACTGTTGTATTTTGTTATTCAGTTCTGTATCGAAATGTTGTACATGCCCTATATTGTGTATGGAAGTAATGATGAGACTTTCTTTTAGAACCATCTGTTTTCTGGTCCTTTGTTTTTTATCAACTCTACATAAAAAATGATTTAATTTTATTGGTTCTGTAATCCTTGAGGCGTCAGAGTCTGTGCTCATTGCATGGTAAATTGCAAAGTTCATCTTTTAAAAAAAAACATTTGTTCAGCACTGAATTATTCCACATGTAATGGAATGAAAAAAATGGGGCCTGCAATGGCCTTAACATTTCTGTATCTAACTATTTTCTTCTGGTATTTTAAGTCGCCCCGAATACCATTCTGAATGTCTGCAATTTATTTCCAAGTGTCATGTTGCCATATGAGAGCAGTTACTAAGAAGTACTGAACAAATCTTAGGTTAAGAGCTCTGAGGTGCATATATAAATGCAAGGTGTTATAGGTTAACTGACCCTATTTACCAGGACACTACCAAATGAGATGTGATGTCACTGAAGAATTACAGGGAAGACTTGCAAGCGATTATACACTTGTTGTCTAGTTCTGTTTTGGCTCAGTGTTAAGAAATGTAGATAAATTGAAGGATGAGTCATTAGAGAGAAGATTAAACTCTTCTATGACTGTAATACTATCAGAATTTCAAACCAAATTCTGGCAGGATATAACTATTAAGAAATCTTAGTGCATCAGATAACTGTAAAATGGTTTTGTCAGATACCATGTGATATGCTTAGCTGCAACAAGGAATCAGATAGACAGATGTACAAGTAAGAGATTGCACATTCGAGGGCAAGGATCAAAACTTATGTTCCTGACATAAAGGTAGAGTTATAACTTGAGTGTCTGCAACTTTAGACAAACAGGCTGCTTTGGTCATGACATTATGGAGGTCTGATTGCTTGGCCACATCTCTCCTGTTTTGCAGATAATAGATTCTGCCTGGAATGGGGCTTTAGACTAGAGTATCGCATATTGGGTCAATGTTTGCGAACAGACTTATTGACGTCTCCTCACCACTATATTTTCATTGACTGCCCAATCTGTGCAATGCAGAGGAATTTACAGTTTGCAGTCAGTGGTGCTGTCAATAAAGAACAATGTCACTTTTGTCAGATTATTGAGGAAGAATGTACAAAACTAAAACCGATCAAAAAGCCTGTGTATGAATGGTGTCTGAATTTAGAAAAATAATTTAATTAAGCTCAACTGGAGAGAAAATGTGCCAAGCAAGTAATAAGAAGGTTGCCGGTTTAATTTCCAATTTGTTGCATTGAAACATAGAAACTTGTGTTTGTATTTATAACCCTCGGATAGGATAGAAAGGACAAGAATGCAATCGTGATTGCTGTTCAGTGACCTCTGATGAATGGTGTGTACAAATGAATGTCTGGCAAGAAAAAGATTGTGCATAGCTATGTCCTCCACAGATAATGCCAAAACTCATTATCTTGGCTCAAACATGAAAGCTGTTCACTTGGGTGGGAAACAGATGAATGACCTGTATCTGTAGTACCATACTCTCAACATGAGTCGATTCTTTCACGAAAATTGGCCAACAAGATAGAGTAGTCAATTATGTCTGTAGTAATTGGCAAAGCTCCAGGAGCTAATGGCTACTTGGCATTGTTTTAAAAAATCTTTCAAAGTTAGAACACACCTGTGTTGAATCATTGGATAAAAAAAACATTCTCTGAGGGCATAGTGGCTGTACTTCAATTAATTCCCTGTTTTGAGAAACCAAGTATCAATGTATTGAAGCTCCTTATATATTTTTTGGGTAGAGTGTTCTCCATCACAATGCTAGTCATTTGTTTCATGACTGTTTGTGGAACATTGCTGTGCACAAATTGGCTAATGCATTCGTCTGTAAATACAGTCAGACCATTTCACAGTGAATCCTGTGAAAGCTTTGGGATATCTTGACGTGAAATGTGCAATACCAAATGCAAGGATTATTATCTGTTACGTGGTCAGAATAATTTATTTTCCCTTCATACCTTTTAAGGCAGCTTTCAACTCCCATCAATAGATTATTCTGAATATTTAAATAAAATGAAGGCAAAACTAAGGGTCAAATTACCATCTTTTTGAATCCAAAACTTTGCTGGTGATGTTACATGGTTGAATCCACCTCTGCCGCAAAAATAACCCAGTTCTTTTCTCCACTGAAGCATATCCATTTGAGTCACGTCATTAAAAGCATTAATTTATCGCCACAGTAATCTGGAAAAAAATAGATTATGCTTTTCTAAAGAAAGAGTATGGAGGCTTCAATCCTTTTCAACAAAGATGAGAGCTAAATTTTCAAACAAATTGCCTCTATGTTAGAAGGAGTGGGGCGGGGGTGGAGGGGGAAGTCAATTTGGAGAGGTTCTTGGATTTTTTAAAAATGTTCTTTATATTTAGAATGAACTGAGAAGTGGGAATAAAATACAATACAATACAAAATTACATTTGTAAAGCACCTGTCACATCAGGAGGCGGTCCCAAGGTGTTGCATAGTCAGAGATTAAGACACGAGCTGAGGGGTGCGGGGGCGGGGTTGTGATCAGGGAGGGTGGAGGGAAAAATATGGTCAATGTTTTAAATGTTTTAATGCACCTAAAATGTATTAATTCTATGGTGGTAAAAGTGCAGAACTGCGGAGCGATTGGGTGATGCATTGTTTCTGGTATCTGGACTTTCATCTGGCCCAGAATAATGGTGTGAACATTTAATTGTTTATCTGCTGGCTGTAACGATGCTTTGTGAAATGAATTTTGGCAGTTGCAACATAACACTCAGTGGGCCAAGGACTAAGCTCATAAAACTACCCACAACTCAATACAAATTGACATCAAATTAGCAACTTAATTAGAGAAGCCATATGAACAAGATGATGTGGGAGGTGGAAATCTCATACTTTTATGGTAAGGGAATAACGATCTAAGAGTAAGACACACTGAGGCAGAACAGATTGAGATCGGACCATGCAGGGAGTGCTTGATGGTGACACTAGATGTCCCAACTTTTATAAATCTTTATTTCATAGCACTGAAAACCCTCAATTTAATGACAATTGATTTATTTGTTAAAAAAAGTTCAGAATGCTTATAAAATGTAGAATAATGTTGATGAAATATTTCGGCGTAACTGCAGCAAGTATCCAAAACCATTAACTTCCATGTGTTCTTTACAACTTGCATTTATATAGTGTCCTTCATGCGGAGTAGCGTCCTGGAGCACTTGATCGTGGTGGAGTCTGACCCCAAGCATACCTGGCACAAAGATGAGCATGAGTACTGATATAATAACTTGTTCTTAAGTTGGATAAAACCCTCAAAAATTGCAGTTGTCTGAACTATCCATGCAGAAAGATAGGATCAAGCTGATTCTTAAACTTTTATTTCAAATTGATTACATAGAATGGGGATTGGAGACGACACTTGAATATGCATAGCAGAAGTAAATTCATCTGCATATGTTATGGAATGTCCCAATTACAACTCATCAGTGCACAATTAAGGCTTTGATGCTGCATATTATTGCATCTTACCTGTCGCATAAAGTAGATTTGAAGGTCTCTTGGCTATCATTTCACCTATGGAAATGACGCATGATATAGAAAGATGTAACAAAGTTAAAGAACATTTTACGAGGGATCCAGGGATGAAATTCAAAATTGCAACTGGGGAGAATACCACCTCCCCCCCCCTCCCAATCATATACCATATTTACCTGGTATTTGTGGACAGAACTGCAGCAGTACTTTTATAGTCATTTAAACTTGTATCATAAAGGAGGCAAGATAGGGAAGTACAGTATATTGAGCTCTTATGATGCATGTATTACTGAGCTGCTTCAAATGGTCATGGCATGCAGGTTAGCCAAGTGGCCTGGTGCTCAGCCTTTTGCGTTTTGGAAGTAAATGCAGGCAGTACACGTCTCTGCTTGCATTGCTGACGCTGGAGCCATTGGCACAAAATACCTACTTTTATAATTTTTGGCACCTACATAAGCCGCAGTACCATCTCATTTATCTTTCAGCGTCTCTGCCAAACTTTGGAGTACTGCCAGCAGCATTGCAGCATCAAATGACCATCACACGAACAAATCAGATTACAAATTATTCCTGTGGGATGAGATGATAAATTGTTTGTATTTCCTGCTGGGTTCTATGTGTCTTTCCCATTGTTCATCATTTCCCATTGTTCATCTACCCAGCACTTTACTCTCAAAGCAATGCAACATGCGACGGTGAAAATTAACCTTTAAACATGAAAATCAGATTTTTAGAGAAGTTTGTCCGCAACTCTTTTGGATCAAAATTCGCTGCCATCCTTCTAAATTTGAAGTAACATATTAACCAATTTGTCTGCAATGCATCACTTATTTGAAACTTTTCATGAGTTATCTTTAAGTTTGAACTGATGTAAGTGTTGGAAATTGCTTTAATCTATCTCTGGAATTTCCATGTGTAGGTGGGATGTATGGAATTCTCAGTTTGATTTGGATGATCTTGAACATGGTGATGGGTTTCCGCATGTGTCAGACACCTGGCTGACACCAAAAAATGCTCTGCTCAGCGGAAATGTTAAATTTGTTAGAAATAGTCTTCAAAATATTTACAAATGTATTTGTGACAATTTTTTAGTGCATCTGAGAAAAAATACATTTCCATTTATAATGAATTTTGAAAATGAATGATTTTCTGAGACTGAAAAAAACTGGGAACACCTTGTTCCTCTGTCCTAATGTAACTGAAGCTTATTTAAAATCCTCAATTAATAAAATCTATTTTAAATGTTCTTTAATTTGATTACGTCTTTCCAAACCATGCATTATTTTTCAATGGCTGAAGTCAAGGGACTTGCTTAGTCCTTTGCCAGTACTGCTCTTAATCTAGTTAGGAGGATGCAGAATATCAATCTAGGGTGACTCACCTTCCAATTTTACTTCATGCTTGAGAAGGAGGGTTTGTCCTTTTCTATCTACTTAAAATCATCAAAATCTACATCGCTGTGAACCACAGATGCAAATGTGCTACACTCCTATCAACTATTTTGCTAAATTTGACAGTTTTAATATTCTCAAGTTGCATCTCCAAACTGTAAGAACAAAATTGCTGTTACTTTTAGTAA